CAAAAAGTGGTTAGAGGGGCTTATTTACATCTTTTTTGAATTTTATGGATTAACATGCACATTTTCAAAAAATATGGACTAGTTTTGCATAAACCCTATATATCGGGGGGGTTTTTTGCACTTAACCCTCAAAGAAATTACAATTTGTAGCTAAAAATTTATTAAATAATTTTAATATGATCGAACTGATATTTGCTAAAATAAAAAATAAAAATTGTTTAAACGTTTTAATTCTATCTGTTCAACCCTTATAAACCCTCCACTTGTTTGGTAACATGCAAATATTCTAATCATATATTTATTAGTAAGTTTTTTTTTTTTTGGCTAAGTAATCTCGCGGTGTTTTCATTAACATATGTATGTGTTCATCTCATATATTTCAGAACTTGGTTCCTTCCTTTGAGACCAACTCCAAAACTTGGTCGACGATTTCTTGGAAGGCACAACCATTGGTGCAAAAATAAGAATTTAGGCGAACTTGACGAAGCACTTCCAAGGGTACATCTATTGTTCCCCTTTGATGTCAATCTGACTCGCTTTATCTTGATTTCTTCAATCTTATTTTCAATTCCAATTTTACTTCTTTTCTTAGGAATCAATTATGGCACGAGTAAAAGGAGAGAGAGGGATTCCAACCCTCGATATATCTTTGTTCAAAACTTATTGATATTAGTTTTGAAATTCCATATGGTACCATCAATTCACAAATTTAGAGTGGTTTGGGATCATAATTGTGAATTCTCTCTAGACTTTTGTACTATGGGCTTCTATACTTTAGTACTATGGCCTTCTACCTCCGTAGCAGAACGTGATAGATACTTTTTGGAGGGAAAAAAAAATGTAAGATACAATGTGTTTGGGAAAGATTATGTGAATAGAAAAGGGCAATTATGAGATTTGAACATATAGAAAACTAAACATAGTGTTATTTAAGCAAATGATTCTGTTGATACATTCGAGTAATTAAACGTTTTACAATTAGTAAGCTGGATTTATTGTCATAATTTGCATTTTTCGACAAAATCGACCTATTTAAACCACGATCATAAGCAAGTGTATAAATATACTCCTGAAAGATAAATGGATATAGGAAATCGTGTTGCCGAGATTTAGCTAGTTTTAAATATCTTTTGAAGGACCGTGTTGGTATTGTTAAGTATGAAATTAATTCCGATTTGATTCAAAAGATAAGAGAATTTGTGTTGTTTTTCTATTTCTACGTGCAAAGAAAATAAAAACTGAAAATAAACTAAGTTAATGGAGAATAGATATCAAGAGATAAGGGACTTCGAGATGGTCAATTGTCTCAACAGTAAGGAATTCATACTTATGCATAATCGAGAACCAAGTGGCTACAACCACAATTTAATTCAATTAAGAAGGTAAATATGAATAAGCACCAAGCCATAACTCATCTTTGATTGGCACAAATTGTCTACCTAACTACTCTAATATAAGGTGTAGTACAACCCGTCTTCCCTGTGCATGAATTATTAAAACATTCATTCGTATATTCGTTAAGCAACATTGCATAATCACTACCCCTACCGTTAAGAGAAGCCCTTAGCCGCCAATCTCTCACAATAAAAGAAGTTTGAATTCAATTATAATATAATCAATTCTAATACAAAAGATTAATTTTATTAAAATTGATTATAATCATTAAAACCCAATTGCTTAGTACAACTAAGTCAATTGCTTGTAACCATGCAATCAATATACATATAATTCCAAAAGTTAAGAACAATTAAACCATGCTACTCAAACTAGGGTTACATCAATTCCCTAAGGAATGTTTTAGCTACTCATGGAGAGGAAGATGTCATCGTTGTTGGTGTAGAAGCCATCTAATGGACCACCAATTGGAATCTTCAAAACCCTAAAAGCCGCCACGTCTTTCCCTTGTCTCCAAAACCTACGTATCTCTCTATACTCTCACATTTTTCTACTGGACGTCTCCCTTTTATATCCACGTTATAGGCTTTCTTTCTAGAGAAGAAAAATAGAGACAACCCAACCAAAAGAAAGGAGCCCAAATAGGCTTTTATATTTTCGTCAGTTTATAACGCTGTTTTGACCTATTTGGTGTACGAATCTCGAAATTGCTATTAGACACAAAAACGACTGGTTTCGAGTCTTCTTTCTAAAGCTATTAAGTTTGCTAAATTCCGAGTTTCGGGGGTTCCTTAGGATTTTTGTGGAGTGCGAATATCTTCTTAGCCTCTTTTTAAACTATTCATTTTGCAACACTTTTTTACAAAGTATGGTTTTTTGTTCTTGCTTTCAAAAATCTTGTAGCAAATAAATGTTTTTTTTTTTTTTCTTTTTCGCTAACCCAGGGTATCCAGGAAAACACGAACCTGAGGGCTCCTCAACAATTCGACTAATCCCCAAGGACCCGGAAGGGCACCTCCCCACCTAGCCCGAGTAAGTCACTGTAGGGGCAGCGAATGCTAGCTACAAAGAACACCCAACGGGTCTCGAAACCCAAACCTTGGGCATGCAAAGCACTAAAGTCCAGCAAGCAAATTGTTAGGCCATATCCGAATTGGATACAACAAATAGATGATATCAAATATACTTTCCATTACCATTAAACACTCAACAACAAAAAAAAAAGACGTTGTTTTTTCAATGGGTGTAAATGGACTCCTACTAAAATATTACTTTCAAGGTTCCTTAATAAAGACACTCTCGGATTCTCAATTGGGCTCTTTTTTTTCATGGGTCTAAATAGGCTCATCTTTTTCAATGGGTCTAAATGGGCTTTGTTTTTTTAATTATTATTATTATTTTTTTATCATTTAATATATATATTTCTTAATATTAGGGTTTTCTTTTAGCAATTTTCTTAATATTAATATTTTTAATTCTCAATGGGCTTTAGAAAATTCTTGATAGACTTGGGGTTGGAGGGCCACTACAATATTTTATAGACTTGGGTTAGTGGGCCATCGGATTTTTTTTCAAACTCACTACAAAGAAAGGCCCATAACTAAAGGGCTTTGAAAAATTGAGCATTCAACAGCTATTTGTGATACCCATTGGGCTATAAACTCTTTGTTCAAATTAGAAATGATCTGTTTTTTCATGACCGTCAATCAACAAGAGACTGCATTCTTAATATTTCTTTGAATTTTTTAATAAAGACGAGTCTCAATTTTTTCAAATAATCTATTATTCCACTCCTGTCAGATAAAATACACAGTTGCAAACTTTAAAATAATCATAATTAGATGCTTTTAAAAGATAAAAAAATCCCAGCCACGGACCTCATGTAAATTTGGGGGATACATACTCATAAAATATTACTATTGCTCTTCTAAAATTATTAAAAAAAATTCATTATTCCCCCATTCCTGACTTAATTTTCTGGGTTCGTCCCGCATTGCATTTAAGATAACAAAATTCCTTTAAATCAGCCTATAATTTGTGTTCCTTGTACATTGTAAATTCCACAAATATTTGGATCAATATGGTAGTATAACACGGAAAATTCTCCAAATTTTGTTTATGTAACAACGAAGTCTAGTGAAAGGTCATAGTGTGGGTTGGTACAAATTGTACTCTCTTGGAGAATTAAGTTACCAAAGATGGAGTTTTCCATGACTTTCTCCATTATTATGTCAAAGTTTAGTAACTATACTTTGATGAAGCGCTGAGTATGGTGGTGAATGATGACACTTTAAAAGACACATCACTACCATAGTTAGAAAATTTATTGTAATTTTGAAAAGGCGTACTGTATATCTCATTTAAAATTTGAGCTTTCATACGTTTTAAAATTAAAGTAATCATACTTGTATTGATTTATTACAGTGCCTCTTAATGAATTTGATATAGAAAATGTTGATTTGACAATTATTATTAATGCTTTATCTAATGAAAATATTTTCATCATTGACTCACTGTCTACTATTTTCAATTTGAACGTGAAATTCGCGTTGAATCTTTATTTCCGCGAAACTTCTTTTTTCTTTTTTATTGTCGTTGATTTTTTTAAATATGACAGTGCCACGTTGAGATCACTCTTAAAGAATTTTTTAAGTATCACAAAGTCACCTTGAGATTACTCTCAAATTTTTTTTTGATAATTATTCAGTGCAAGTGAGATATGAGAACTGCATACGTTTAGTTGTAGTTAATGAGAGTTTAAAAGGCACGACACTATTATTATCGTTATTTTTTTTTGTATGTCTCATTCAAAATTTGAAGATTGAGCTTCCATACATCTTCAAATTTTTGTCGTTAAAGTAGTTTCATATTTTTATTATTCAGTGTTGGTGATTGGTTCCCTTACCTTTTCTTAAAATATCTTGGCCATTTTGTTTGGAACCTCGGGTCATAGTTTAATGGACTAAGAAAAATGTATGCCTCTTAATGAATTGGTTCAGCTTGGGGCATACGTCAATGCAACTATTATTATTAATGCTTTATCTAATGAAAATATTTTGTCATTGACTCCTATTTTAAGTTTCATTGTGAAATTCGTATCATTCAATTATAACAATTCTTATAAGAGGATATTTATCTCACATCAATTTTAAATGAGAGTTGAAGTGTATGAATGAATGAGTATGTAATATTATTCAACAATTTAAGTTTTTTGATAAATAAACAAGCGACTATCTATTATAATTGATAATAAAATTAGATTTAGTTTCTGATCCAGTATTTTGCCGGACACCAAATCCAAACCCCGAGTACGCATGGTGGCCCCATAATAATCCCTCCGTAAAACGTGTTATCTTTATTTCCGCGAAACTTCCAATTCTGCCGACCTCTAACTTTTGGGTTGATGTGGAATTACGAAAGTGACATTTTTGGTTTTCTTCATCATCCAACAGATTTCATTGGTGAACATAATAAATGAGTAATAATAATTGACAGTTGGGATTGAAAATAGGACAAATCATTTGGTTTCTTTCTTTGATCATGAACTAGGAAGGTGATGGTAGATTTCCCTTAAAATAATCCATTCATTTATATCTTTTTAACGCAAAAAAAATTATTTGACTAAGAAACATCCAAACATTTTTTCTCTTTTTTCTTCTTTTGGTTTTTGGAGCAAGTTTCTGTCTCAATTTAAGTGGTGAGGAAACTTCTATGAGGATACATTTAAAGGTGTTTGGCCAATTACTAAAGCATAAAAGGGAGACCAGGAAAAGATTAGTCTTGCTCTACTGCCCAGCCTGTTTTTTCATTCGCTAACTCACCTCACTGTTGATTGGTATGTGACTTCTTCTTATATATATATATATATATATATATATTGCAAACTTCAATTTAATTAAGTTTGGTTAATTAATTGCCCTTAATTTTACTAAACTTGGTTGGTTGTACATTTAAGCTCCCACTTTTCTGAATATTTCCCCTTAAGTTTTTTATGACTGGTTGAGCATTGATGTTGTATGTTTGTGCATGCTCTCAAACTAGTTTTCCAGTTCATAAGAAAAACAAAATAGAATTAAATTTATATTCCTATATGTGTGTGTATGAGTCCACAAGAACTTTGTGTAAGTGAGATTTAGAATGATAAAGGGATTCATATGTATGCATGTATCTATATATATATATATATTTGTATTTTCTTTTTTCTTTTTGGTTTTACACATCGTGATGCAGACATTTTGTGAGGAGGCTTTTGTATCAGATTGAATTTATCGGAAATTCGGAAATCAAATTTTGTTTTACCACACTTGGAATCTAATTTAATTTTATTTATTTAGTTTTTTTAAGGTCTCTTATGTCCATTTTAGTTTTGAATGATTGGTTTGCAGTAAGAAAGAATATGGTAAGAAGAGAAATAACTGATGGTTCATTTGAGTATCAACATGGCTTGAATAACTGATGGTTCATTTAAATTTGATTATATTTATTGTTGAAAATTTCTTATAATATATTTTGGAAAGATGAGCTATGTCTCACTCAAAAATTGAGCTTGGATACTTCTTCAAATTAGTATGTGCCGTTGAAGTAGTTTCATATTTTAATATTCAATGTTGGTGATTAGCTCCCTTGCTTTTAAAAAAATATAACGATAATAATCCACTTTAAAAAGTGTCATCTTTACATCGAAGAAACTTCAAATTTTTTTTTTTTTACTTTTTAATTCTCTATAGAATTCCAATTCTGCCGACCTTTGGGATGACTGAACAGAATTAATTGATATGGAATTATGAAAGTACCATTTTTGTTTTTCTTCATCATCCAGCAGATCTCATTGATGACCATGAAAAATAAATAATAGTAATTAAAAGTTAAGATTGAAAATAGGTAATTTGTTTTTATATTTATAAGCTATTTGTTTTGTTTCTTTGATTATGAACTAGGAAGGTGGTGGTTGATTTCCCTCCAGATAATGCATTCATTTTTATCCCCGGATAAACAATTATTTGACTAAGAAATTAACATCAAAGACTAGTATGGACAAATTATTTTTTATTATAAACAATTATTTTTGTTTTTGGAATAAGTTTCTGTCTTAATTTACATGGTGAAGAAACTTAAATGAGGATATATATTTAAAGGGGGTTGGCCAAATACTAAAAGCAGAGAAGACTTGCTCTACTGCCCAGCGTTTTTCATTCAGTGACTCACTCCACTCTTGATTGGTATGTGACTTCAACTTAATTTAGTGAATTAATTGTTGTTCTGAAAATTATTGCAATCCTATCACCATTTTTATGCCTCTAGTTTTGTTTAAATAAAGTGGTTTTCTTGTATGTTTGTGCATGCTCTCAAGGAAGTTCTCTGGTTCATGAGAAAAACAAAATAGATTTAACATTTATCTTCCTATATATCTGTGTATGTAGAGATATAGGTAGATTTTAGTCTACAATATATGTATATATATGTGTGTGTGTGTGTGTGTGTGTGTGTGTGTGTATTCATTTTACAATTTTGGGGTTTTATAGATGGTGATTCAGAAATTCGAGTATGGATCAGACTGAATTTATTAGAACATCAGGAATCAAAAAATTTTAACTTGGAATATATTTTACATTTTTTTTTCTTCCTTTTTTGTAGTTAGTACTTCATTTAAGTATCAACTTAATTAGCTTGTTTAAAAAAACCATCCCTCTTCTTCTGTGTTTTCTGAATCAAGTCTTAACCATATTTGTTCAAAACCTGGACCATCTTAAAATCTCAACAGATACTAGCTCATACATTGATTCTCTTTTTGTCAATAATAATTCATTTTTTCAATCTCAGAGATGGAAAAATAAATAGATATCTAGATTAGGACTTGGAAAAATACCATAGCAAAAGTCTGATTATTGTGCAATATCCTCCAAAAATTAGTCAAGCAAGCGCGATTTGAAATTCTTTTCCCATCTTTTTCGCAAGCAACAAAAATCCTGTTCTTTGCTTCAGTGCATAAGTTTTACATCTATTCAATATCATTATATATGCTTCACTGTCATTTTAGTTATGGAGATAAATAGTTTCATTCATCTTTAAAAGACTTGCATACAAACTTTACTTTATGTTTGAGCTATCTGTATCTCTATACCACTGCTCATTCATATAATAGTACTGGTAAATAGGTTGACTCATATGGTTCTAGTTGCCACAATTACATTTACAGTTTAGTTAACTGTTTAAAATTATATTTTCAAATTTTGATTTTAAAAACTCCTTTTCTTAGATTTTTTTTTTTTTCATAGCTGAGGATTTGCGTAGATCATTGGTGTACAACAATACTAATGCTACCAACAGTTGCAAATAGATATATTATGAAATTGACATATTACACATGAAATTAAAACTAACAAAGGCTAATTAACATTCAGAAATGCAGTCAAATGGTACATTCATTATAAATGAGCATACAGCCGGATTGAATAGTAGTATTGTTTTTAATCTCAGAGATGTCCGATGCCTACTACAATCCCCCTCCATTAGAAGTTAGTGGCGGGACAATAGCAGCTGGTAAGTTCCTACACAGAAATGAAGAATTACAAGAGAGAGAGAGAGAGAGAGAGAGAGAGAGAAAAAGAAAAGAAAAAGAAGAAAAAAAGAGTAAAGAAAATGAGTACATTTTGCTTGGTTTGTAACTCTGAGGACACTTTTCTATTTTCTGTATTTTTTTAAAACAGAAAACTGTACAAAAACTTTATTTGGTTCAGTTTTCTGAAAACTCCGTTTTAAGATAAATGTCTTTTATAGTTATGTGAAAACAAATTTATGTTTCTGAATTCTTGAGAACTGTTTTCACAGTTATAAACTAAGTAGGTGTCATTAACATCAAATTTGAGCCTTAAAAGTCACCATTTTCGAGTTGTTTGAATTTGCAGCCACAATAGTGAGTTTGATAATACTGGCAATTATCAGCATTGTTTTTGTCTATTATGCAAAAAGATGAGAAAAGCAATTATAACAGAACTACAAGCAGCAGTTGCTCCACCACCACTCAATGCAGTTCAAGTTTGGCAAGTTGATGGACCTACAATGCAGAGGATCCTAGAAGACCTGGCAGGGGACAAACCGGTTCGATTCACAGCTCAGGAGCTATGTAACTTCATGAATAACTATTCAACAACATTGGGTTGTGGTGGTTTCGGGATAGTTTACAAAGGACAGTTTCCAACTGGAATGAAGATTGCAGTGAAGGTCCTCAACAGGAGCTTAGACAGAACAGCTCAAGAGCAGTTCACTGCTGAGGTTGCCATTATTGGCAAAACCTACCACATAAATCTAGTCCGGCTCTACGGATTTTGCTATGATCATTTCATGAGTGCATTGGTGTACGAGTACATGGAAAACGGATCACTTGATAAGTACTTGTTTAGTGACACACAAGTAATTGAGTTGGATAAGCTATATGACATTGCAATTGGCACAGCCAAAGGCATTGCTTACTTACATGAAGAATGCGAGCAAAGAATCATTTACTATGACATCAAGCCCGGTAATGTCCTCCTCGACGGAAACTTCTATCCTAAGGTTGCAGATTTTGGCCTAGCAAAGCTTTGTAATAGAGATGACACTCACATAACTATGTCAGGATATAGGGGGACTCCCGGTTACTCTGCACCAGAGTTTCAGCTAAAAAATTTCCCTATTACCTATAAATGTGATGTTTATAGCTATGGTATGTTGTTGTTTGAGATAGTAGGAAGGAGAAGGAATGCTAAAATTGGTTCTACTGATAGCCTGAATTGGTTTCCGAAACATGTTTGGGACGAATATGAGAAGAACGAATTAACAGGGATGACATTGTCTTGTGGGATTGAAGAGAAGGATAGGGAGAAAGCAGAGAGAATGTGTATGGTAGCATTGTGGTGTGCTCAAGACTCGCAAGAGGCTAGGCCTCCGATGAGTGCTGTGGTGAAGATGCTGGAGGGAGGAGTGGACATTAAGCCACCTCCTAGACCATTTCAATACTTGTTTTTGGTAAGCATGCTTAATCCTGTGACCGGTATTGGCAACACTTCAGACTACTCAACAAATGAGGGAACTAATTCGTATTGGTACAAGGACTCGACTCCAATTATGACCAAATATGAGATACAAATGGCTAGTTCTTCATCAAATACTCGAATCTAATTTTTCATATGTTGGTTAAAGATTTTAGATATATATTAATGTGATAAATTGTTCTTTTTAGTAGTGGATATGTTTGATATTTGGTTTAATCTTAACAACCACATTTGTCTTTGGGGATTCATGGTACTTGTTTGCTGAGGCAGCACCTGTGATATATATATATATATATATATATATTTTGGGGAGATTGTGAAAAATATATATTTTGTAATTGGCTAATTTTGTTGTCAAAACAAGTCCGATCGAGTTGTAAAATTTCGGTTTAGAATTTCAAGATTGAAGATCAGATACGGATTTAAAGAAGTTCAAGTGTTCGTACTTTGATAAATTCCAGGATGTTGAGAATAATGCTTTAGGAAGTTTTGTGAGTGTGTGAGAACCCTTAGCAAGTTTTGGAAGTTTTTAGGGAGAAATTACATTCTGCCTAACTTGAACTGGTTCAAAAATTTAGCGAACATGTTCAACATCTGAGTGAACAGGTTTAAGAATCAAATAAAATCTTCAAAATTCACTCTGGCCGTCTTGAACTGGTTCAAAGAATCCTGAACCGGTTTAAGGCTTCAAATATGCTTAGATAACTTTAGTTTCCTGATCTGGTTCGATTCCTTTTTCGTCTAAACTTCCTTCCAAAATCCTATGCACGAATTTACCTTATTTTCAAGCATATCTAGGTTTTTGAAAGTCTATATAAACATGTTTTCTCAATTAGGATTTCACAGCTTTTTGCATACAAAATTCAGATCTAATTGAGAGCCATCTTTAAGAGATATTTTTATTTAGAAAATCAATCTGATTTTTCTGATTTTATTTTTTTGAGCACACACATAAACATAAGAGTGATTTAGGAGTGTTGTTCTCTATCTCATCGGAATTGGAGCATAATTGAAGATTCAGAGATTCCGAAAAGCAAAATTCATTTTTTTTTACAACAAATTCATATTTAAAGAAGAAAGGCATTTAGATCACACTTTGAAGGGATTAAGGTGTTTTGCGAAGTGTTGTTGATCTACCAGCAATCCTTCTAAAAGGTTAAAGGAGTAAGTCTAAAGTCGAAAGCTGTTAGACGGGGAGTCGCAAAGCCAGGGATGTTCAACAAGTTGGGGTCTTGTAGAGTGAAGGGGTGTGAGCCTGAGTCATAGTTTGGTGTACTTTACTTCATACATAGTAGATCTTTTTTACGCTTAGGATAGCGCACAAAACCTCAGGGTTTTTCAATTGGTTTTTTTTTGCTAAAATCCAGTGTCACTCTAACTTTACACATTTATTTTTGCTTTGTGGTTTAATTTTAGTTTTATTTCGGTAAAATTAATTTAAACAAAAATCAGATAAAAGAGCAAGTTGAACCTATTCACCACCCTCTAGGTTATTTATCCATATTATATTCCACAACCATTCTGCTGTGTACAACTCACAGCACCTTGATTCAATGTTGGGAATACTTGTAACATTTGTAGCTGATCTGTTCTTTTACAGCCTAGATCTTTCTAATTTGTAGTACGATTATTATATTTTATTGGTTAATTTTTTGGATTTTGTATACATGCATTGTTGTTCAAGAAGCAAGGAGAGTATTAAATAAGATTAATCCTATTTTTGGCTGTTATTAATGCATACTTTCGAGTGAACATTTTTAAAGCTCTCTATCTAAAATGTTCCACAAATAAAAAGCTCTTCCTAAGCTCGTCCGTATTAAAGTTGGAGTTGGTTCGAGCACTAGGCTGGTATACATATTTTTGTAAAAAAATAATTTAAACTTGAACATATTTAGGACAAAATTGGTAAAAACAATTTTAATATTGACTGTAACGACCCAAACCTGGGTCTGGATCATTAATCGGGTCCCTACCTGACTCGTAAACACCTAAGGGTAAAATGGTCAATATGAACCGTACAAGGCATTAGAAGCTTAAATGAAGTCTTAGAGGTCAATTCTAACCATTTTGAATCATTTTTTAAGGAGAAAATCAACCCCAATCACTAATCGGGTCAGTAGGGTAACAAGGGTAAATCAGTCTTTTTAGAAAGTTCATTGTATTGGGGAACTTATAACTGCCTTCTAGGCCACATGTGGTCAGTTAAGATCTGTGACGGCCCTGGTTTTGCAACCTAGTACGTCAGTGATGACCCTAAAGTTGACCCGGTAACGGATCTAAAATGCTAAAGCAAAAGATAAACCAAGGTCTCTAGGGATATAAATCATCCCTAAGATACCAAGGTGATATTCCATGAAGTCACGGAACTTAAAGAGAGTGAAATAATAAACGAGAGCCAAAACGGGCAAAATCCGTCAATCAAGGGCAAAATGGTCAATTTATAACTAAGAAGAGAAATTTGACCCTAAGCAAGTCAAATAAGGTCCACACAACCTAAACTAATCATTTCACAACATTCCAAGAGGTTCTAAGAACTTTGGACAAGAATCCCACAAAACGCCCTTTCCCGGTTTAAGCGAAAGCTGACACCATCTCACTAAAATATGAATAACTCTCACTGTGATTTGAATCTGAGAATGACATTTGTACCATTGGAAAGCTGACTCAAAATATTTGAGTTTAGGCTCAAGAATCATCCTATTTGGTTTAGAAATGAAGAAGTTATGATCGTTTGAAGTCAGAACAACAGTGCTGTTTCAGAACAAAAGAGTTATGAACCTGAGTCATTTAGGTTGACCGAAATGGCATTTCGGTCGATCAAAATGAATAGAAAATGGCCAAAATTTTTGGAAAATGGAGGAAATCATTTAAGTCGACCGAAATGATGAATCGGTCGACCGAAATAGCCCTGAACAGTACTTTTGGCTACTGGAAAGTGATTTTTTTGGTGCAATGAAATTCCCAAAAGACATCGGTTGACCGAATTAGCATTTCAGTCGGCCAAAATGACTCAAGAAGGTACTGAAACACCTGCTACATGTCAAAAACATTAAGGTTTAACTCAAGCCTCAAATCCCCTCAGGAATTGGTTCAAAAACAAAGGTTTAAAGCTGATTTTCAAGGAAATATGAGTATGTGAACATGTCAACAACCTTAATTTGAATAATTGAATGTAAAACAATGGCTCATAGCTTCATACATGTCAATTACAAGAATTTCATATGCCAAACCTCCAAAGTTGGTTTAAATACGCTTTTAAAAGCAAAATATAGTACCAAATGAATACAAGTGCTAAAATAAGCATGTTTGGCCCTTGGCCTCATGTCATGCATACAAATTAAGCATCAAAAAGTGTACTTAGGTACACATTACATATTTCTAAGGTAAAAATAGCATTTTACACCAAAATAATACTACATGCTAACATTTGTATGTTTTTCCAAAATGCTTCAACGTATCAAGGCAACTTAGGGATGTGATGTATCCCAAAACAAAGTTTCTTTACTTGTAAAATAATCCAAACAACTAGGGTGAGTAATCAAGTTACTCGTAGGATGTGATGCATGTGCATATCCTATAGTTTCAAGTATAATGTGAACCAAACATAGATCATCACAAGGGTGCATTCCACCTAACGTCTATGTTTTCAAGGTACTCTAAAGGATCATCTCAAACTATACAATGATTGAATTGATAAATACATAGCATCCAAGTGCACATAAACAAGTATTCTAACCGCATTGAAACTAATATCACCAAATCACAAGTTACAAGAAATCCATGATTTACAACTTGAAAAGAAAAAAAAAATGCGAAATCAAATAATGGAGAGACTAGGATATGTGGCCACGAGACCATACAAGTTATTTTGGGTAATTATAACCCACAAGGTACGACCTAGTGCGTACTATGACTTAGGAGAATTCTTATTCTCCGTACTAGAGCCAAACCATACCTATCAAATATTTCATATCCTTACAAGCTTCCAAAAGTCAACAAGTCCATGACATTTATATCATCTCAATGCATGAAACTACCTACCAAGCACAAGTAGGGTGAAACCACACAAACCATGCCTCTATGGTTACATGTCTAAAGTGGCAAGTTAATGATACAAGACATCATGTTACATCAACTTACTATCAATGTAGGCTACTGTTACTAATTATGCAATATAATAATCTTCCTACAAATAATTACAAGTACCACATACAAGATTTTCATACTAACTCTCAGTGAAATCTATCTTACTTAACAACATATGTGCAATTTCAAGATATTCATTATAAACCCTCAATGAAATTATAAGTATTAGACAAATCATTAAACAATAATCTACCTATACAACTTAATAGTCATATACATGCTTTAAATCTACAAATCCTAAGTTAAGCATATCAAATCTCTATTTATATGCGAATACAATAATTAAAGAAGCATGTAATCAATATATATATAGCTCCAGTATATATATAACCTAAAGAAAATAAACATACAACCACCCTTACCTCAATAGAGAATTGAATCTCTATAATCCAAAGCAATCAAGCTTAAAATGGAAAACCAATTCTAGGGTTTTGTAGAGGAGAGTAAGAAGAAGCTAAAGTATTATAAGCTCAAGGGTCTAAGGTGAGTGGAAGGAGGCCAAAAGTGAAGTCAAAGCTCTAAGTCAAGCGTTTCCTTCAATGGAGGCTAGGTTAGGGTTTGAGAGAAAAGTGGTGAGGAAGATATAATAAAGTGAGGTGAGTGGAGGAATTAGCATTCCTCCACTCATTATCTGCTCTTACACTATCTCTCACATATACACATAATGCAAGACCAAACACGAAGCTTACACTTATCATTAATCCATGGATCCTTCCTAGGCTTAATCCTAAGCTTACACTTGTCAACCATCCAAGCCAACAAGTGCACCTATCCTAGGCCAACAAGTGGGTGAATCTCCACCCTCCATGTGTCATCATACTAAGCCTTCAAGTGGTTCCACCACAATGTCAACAAGTAGTTCCACGGGAATGTGACACTTACCACACTTTTCAAAAATTACAAAAAGGTCATTTTCTAAAATATCTTCCAAATTAAATTACAAAATGGTCCCTAAGACGAAAAATAATTACTTTATTTAACTACACTAAAACCCCAAAAGTCAAGAATATTTTCAAGAAGTTATGCATCCATGCCCTTTACAAGAAAAGTAAACATCTAGTATGTTTTTCTACAAAAGTAAAAATGTAGATATCATAGAAATTAAATATCATGGATGTATGCAAAGCCGAAATCAAATCCGAGTACTAAAAGT